GGAAGTTGCTACATGCAATGAAACTTGTACAAGCAGAGCAATTCTGTATTACTGTGCTGGCAGTTCTCTCCAGTGAGAGGATATTTTAAAATTCCCGTCCTGCTTTTCAGCCAGGAAAGGCCTCCAAAGCAGCCTGTAAAATAAAAAAAGGAGCAAAGCAATGTCTATTAATAAAAACAGTAGTAATAAAACTAAAAGACAGACAGAATCAGCCAGCCAGGAGGGGAACAGATCACTCAGTATTAAAGGCTTGCTGAAGCAAGGCCATTTGCTTTCTTAGAACCAAGCAAAGGGGCTAAATGGCTTGAGTGATAACACTAAAAAGGCCTCTCTTACATCCACCTACCCACCTGACCTTAGACAGCAGGGGACCCAGAGAGGAACAAAGCCTTGACAGGTATGCAGAATGATGATGTGAAAGCAACACGTTCATTGTATACCCTAGACCAAAATAGTGTAGGGTCTTAAAGATGATCACTAACAACTGGAATATATGTCCCCCCACCATAGTGATCCAGATTTAGAAACATGGATTTGAAAAGAATATAGAAGAATTAAATCATATCTCATTATCTCTTTATCTCCCTAGCAATTGTTCTGTAGCATGTTGAGGAACTGGCAGAAAAATATATAACTCCCATATAAACTATGCTGCCGCCTCTCTACCAGACAGAGAGGAATATTCATCTATAGAAGGGTAAACTGGAGTTTGGGATATCAGAGTCAAAACAGGATTTCATAGTGCCTTTCAGAATTATAGGAGTGAACAGTAGGGCAGATGACATTACTCCCACTGCTGATGCAATGCACCCCTCTTCTTATTGCCCTCGCGTTTCCACTTTGCTTGCTCTAATAATGGCATAAACATCAGTAATCAAGAATTACTGATGTTCAAGAATATTCAGCTTTCATTAAGCTGAACTGGCATATTGAAAACTGCATATTTCTTGCATCAGATACAACTCAGAACAAAGGCTGAAGGCTGAAATGATAGCAGGGCTGTTTCATGGTATTTTGATACCAGAGGTATGACAGCAAAACTCCTCCCATTCCTCATAAGTCAGGCTCTACACTACACAGAAATGAATTTAATAGTTAAATATTTGCTGCCTTTTCATGATATCTGAAATCTGTTGCCTGAAGTAGCCACCTTATTTTGCCCTTTGACAGGGCTTCCATGTTGTTAACTGGTAGAGAGAAAAACAACCCGAAGTTCATGTTTTAACACACATTATGATGCTACACAGCAAAGCATAGATATTTCTGCCTTCCTGCCTTTCATTTAATCATTCTGGAGTTGAGTAGGCCTGGTTTACATCACTTACCATATCCCATGTTTCAAGGACATTAGCTGTGAACTATTTCAGACATGACAAAAAGACGAGGGATAGCAAGCAGAATTAACTTGCAGTTTTACTGATCTTCTTACACAAGAAAATTTATTTCAAAGATCTATAGGTGTGAAACATGTATAATTTCACTGTGCAAACAAGGTAGGCATCAACCTGCTATGGAAAATACACAACAGCGCACAACAAGAGCTTGTGAATCATGCTTCCTATTCACTTTTGTACTGTCTTATCTGAAATGGCTTTCAGTCTCTGAGCTGTTCTGCTAAGGTAGCCTTTGGAGCCCTCTAGACATTCTGCACTGTAACTCCCAGGATTTGTGAAACTTCTCTGTGCTGCCTAGAGTCTCCAAAATTTGAAGTCCACCATATTTGCAGGACCCTAGGATGGGAACAGGAGATGGCAAGAATAAACATTGACATCCTGGGCATCAGGGAACTAAAATGGACGGGAATGGGCGAATTCAATTCAGACAATTATCATATCTACTATTGTGGGCAAGAATCCCGTAGAAGAAATGAAGTAGCCCTCATAGTCAACAAAAGAGTGGGAAAAGCTGTACTGGGATACAATCTCAAAAATGATAGAATGATTTCAATACAAATCCAAGGCAGACCTTTGAACATCACAGCAATCCAAGTTTATGCACCAGCCACCCATGCTGAAGAGGCTGAAATTGACCAATTCTATGAAGACTTACAACACCTTCTAGAACTGACACCAAAGAAAGATGTTCTTCTCATTCTAGGGGACTGGAATGCTAAAGTAGGGAGTCAAGAGATAAAGGGAACAACAGGTAAATTTGGCCTTGGAGTTCAAAA